TTACATTGTGAATATGCCAGAGTGAGTGAGATCTTTTAAATCGTTTGAAATACATTTGTTTCATCTAGTAGTTTTAGGGAAGTTTAGATGGGACTACATGCCCTGGTCATTACAAATGAATGCTGATATGTTGGTGCAATAAGATGAAAATGTAGTTTGATTGAACAGCACGTGCTCTCTATACAATTATTATATACATTTTTAAATGGTGCATATATACAACGCGACCTCCTTTACATCCCTCATATGATACAGTACAGATCTTTTTGGTCTCATGTCATCCATTCATACATAGTGTTAAGAACACAGGACTGGGGTCAGGGAGAAAGAGTAGACAATCTCATGGTTTTTCGGAAATCTGTTGTTCCGACGCTGGAATCAAGCTACATTTTTCAAGTACTTTTTTTCGAGACACATCCAATAAATAAATAAATAGATAGAATGTATCATCCATTTTACATTACATACAGTACATTCCTTGGAGTACAGTAGTAGATAATATATATTTACACATGCTGTCAAAGTTGAAGATTGGACCAGATACAGTACATTCTCTGTACAGTCTGAGGCACCATCGCCGCCTGGGTTGTGAGCAGTGGGGAGGAAACGGAGAGGTACCTGCTGAACGCAGGGCAAGTCCTGGCTGTTCTGCCACCCTAGGCCAGACAAATCAAGTCCGGTCCAGACCGGAACAAATCTGAACCAAACATAGACGTCTATGATTTGGTCTGGACCGGACTAAAAACCAACGTCCGTGGACGTGGAAATCAAGGCCGGTCCAGACAGGACCCCCCCAAAAAAGCCATCCAAAAGCGACGGCATCGATCCGTGCTTACTGAGGTGTAGCCTACAGTGTTGCCTAAATTTATTTTTATGAATGCCCATCTACAGTTGAAGTTGGAAGTTTACATACACCTTAGCCAAATACATATAAACTCAGTTTTTCACAATTCCTGATTTTTAATCCTAGTAAATATTCCCTGTCTTAGGTCAGTTAGGATCACCACTTTATTTTAAGAATGTGAAATGTCAGAATAATAGTAGAGAGAATGATTTATTTCAGCTTTTATTTCTTTCATCACAATCCCAGTGGGTCAGAAATGTATATACACTCAATTAGTATTTGGTAGCATTGCCTTTAAATTTTTGGCATTTTGGCCCATTCCTCTTGACAGAGCTGGTGTAACTGAGTCAGGTTTGTAGGCCTCCTTGCTCGCACACACTTTTTCAGTTCTGCCCACAAATTTTCTATAGGATTGAGGTCAGGGCTTTGTGATGGCCACTCCAATACCTTGACTTTGTTGTCCTTAAGCTATTTTGCCACAACTTTGAAAGTATGCTTGGGGTCATTGTCCATTTGGAAGACAAGTTTGCGACCAAGCTTTAATTTCCTGACTGATGTCTTGAGATGTTGCTTCAATATATCCACATAATTTTCCTTCCTCATGATGCCATCTATTTTGTGAAGTGCACCATTCCCTTCTGCAGCAAAGCACCCCCACAGCATGATGCTGCCACCCCCGTGCTTCACGGTTGGGATGGTGTTCTTCGGCTTGCAAGCATCCCCCTTTTTCCTCCAAACATAACGATGGTCATTATGGCCAAACAGTTCTATTTTTGTTTCATCAGACCAGAGGACATTTCTCCAAAAAGTACGATCTTTGTCCCCATGTGCAGTTGCAAACCGTAGTCTGGCTTTTTATGGCGGTTTTAGAGCAGTGGCTTCTTCCTTGCTGAGCGGCCTTTCAGGTTATGTCGATATAGGACTCGTTTTGCTGTGGATATAGATACTTTTGTACCCGTTTCCTCCAGCATCTTCACAAGGTCCTTTGCTGTTGTTCTGGGATTTATTTGCACTTTTCGCAGCAAAGTACGTTCATCTCTAGGAGACAGAACGCGTTTCCTTCCTGAGCGATATGACGGCTGCGTAGTCCCATGGTGTTTATACTTGCTTACATTTACATTTTCGTCATTTAGCAGACGCTCTTATCCAGAGCGACTTACTAACTGGTGCATTCACCTTATGATAGCCAGTGGGACAACCACTTTACAATATTTTTTTTTCTTTAGGGTGGGGTAAGGGGGGGGTAGAAGGATTACTTTATCCTATCCCAGGTATTCCTTAAAGAGGTGGGGTTTCAAGTGTCTCCGGAAAGTGGTGAGTGACTCCGCTGTCCTGGCGACGTGAGGGAGCTTTTTCCATCATTGGGTTGCCAGAGCAGCGAACAGTTTTGACTGGGCTGAGTGGGAACTGTGCTTCCGCAGAGGTAGGGGGGCCAGCATGCCAGAGGTGGATGAACGCAATGCCCTCGTTTGGGTGTAGGGACTGATCAGAGCCTGAAGGTACGGAGGTGCCGTTCCCCTCACAGCTCCGTAGGCAAGCACCATGGTCTTGTAGCAGATGCGAGCTCTGGAAGCCAGTGGAGTGTGCGGAGGTGCGGGGTGACGCGAGAGAACTTGGGAAGGTTGAACACCAGACGGGCTGCGGTGTTCTGGATGAGCTGTAGGGTTTTAATGGCACAGGCAGGGAGCCCAGCCAACAGCGAGTTGCAGTAATCCAGACGGGAGATGACAAGTGCCTGGATTAGGACCTGTGCCGCTTCCTGTGTAAGGCAGGGTCGTACTCTGCGAATGTTGTAGAGCATGAACCTACAGGATCGGGTCACCGCCTTGATGTTAGCGGAGAACGACAGGGTGTTGTCCAGGGTCACGCCAAGGCTCTTTGCACTCTGGGAGGAGGACACAACAGAGTTGTCAACCGTGATGGCGAGATCATGGAACGGGCAGTCCTTCTCCCGGGAGGAAGAGCAGCTCCGTCTTGCCGAGGTTCAGCTTGAGGTGGTGATCCGTCATCCACACTGATATGTCTGCCAGACATGCAGAGATGCGATTCGCCACCTGGTTATCAGAAGGGGGAAAGGAGAAGATTAATTGTGAGTCGTCTGCGTAGCAATGATAGGAGAGGCCATGTGAGGATATGACAGAGCCAAGTGACTTGGTGTATAGCGAGAATAGGAGAGGGCCTAGAACTGAGCCCTGGGGGACACCAGTGGTGAGAGCACGTGGTGCAGAGACAGATTCTCGCCACGCCACCTGGTAGGAGCGACCTGTCAGGTAGGACGCAATCCAAGAGTGAGTACTATTGTTTGAACAGATGAATGTGGCCTTCAGGCGTTTGGAAATTGCTCCTAAGGATGAACCAGACTTGTGGAGGTCTACAAATTTTTTTCTGAGGTATTGGCTGATTTCTTTTGATTTTCCCATGATGTCAAGCAAAGAGGCACTGAGTTTGAAGGTAGGCCTTGAAATACATCCACAGGTACACCTCCAATTGACTCAAATGATGTCAATTAGCCTATCAGAATTTCTGGAATTTCCCAAGCTGTTTAAAGGTACAGTCAACTTAGTGTATGTAAACTTCTGACCCACTGGAATTGTGATACAGTGAATTATAAGTGAAATAATCTGTCTGTAAACAAATGTTGGAAAAATTACTTGTGTCATGCACAAAGTAGATGTCCTAACCGACTTGCCAAAACTATAGTTTGTTAACAAGAAATTGTGGTTGAAAAACGAGTTTTAATGACTCCAACCTAAGTGTATGTAAACTTCCGACTTCAACTGTATGTCGTAGGCCTACCGTTTGTAAAACACCCCAAAAAGACGCCAGGTACGGACAGGACCAAAAAAAAAACGTCTGCCCGTGCTTACTAGGGTGTAGCCTACTGTGTTGGTCTGCAAAGGAATTTTATCAATGCCCATCCATGTGGTAGGCCCACCATTTGTAAAACAGCCTATTGAATTGGCTTTATTAGTCCTGATTCCTGTGACTAATCAATTTGGCTATTTAAGCTCCGATATCAGCTACACAACTTCATCAGGAGTTATCCTGAGCCTATTTGCAATGCGTTTACACAGCGGGAAATCAGAAGTATTTTCTTTTTCGCCGTGATCAGCTCATCAAAAATGTACAGATACAAACTTGAAACCACTGATCATGAAAATTTAGCCCACAGGGTGAAACTTCTGGACAGCAGTTGTGAGTAGCCTGATTGTCCATTTCATATTGTCCATTTTACTTTGACCTGTCTTGTTTTTAGGGTATGTCAGCTTATTTTTTTATTTCATTGGGTGCCATTTAGGTTAGGCTATTTGATCTGAGAAACCTGCATGATGCATGAAGTGTCCGTCTCATTACATTGTCATACATTTTATCTCCAGCCTGTAGGCTACAGAAAAGGCCACATACTTTTTCTACCATATGCTATATCCAGGGGTGAAAGTCTAATTAATTTCTTCCCGGTACGGGACCAAGCGCGTGCACCAACATTTTTTATGGGCCTAATCATAGAGTGACATATACAGTCCCTATTAATTCAATAGGATCTCTGTGGGCCTAGTTGTAAAGATTTGTCATTTAACTTTTAAAATGCATGACCTTTTATTGTGGCATAAACACAACCAGTCAAAATATTTTCATCTGATTGTTAAACAATCACTTCAAAGGGCTCCTTCATAGGTTAACCATGCACATATATATTTCCAGACTCCAAACAGTGGTGAATGGAAAGAGACATCTGTTCCACGTAAACACCAAAAAGTGAAATGACAAATTTGGCTATTGTCATGTCGCCACGTCTCCACCTTGGCAAAATGTCACTGTTCTCGTCGAACCATATCGCATTGGATTGTAGGCTATACCATCCGTTTTCAAGTCCATTCGCTCATTTGTCATGCCTCTGACATGCGGTAATGATAAAGTTGTGTAATAGCATACAGTTTTCTTGACATGTTGTTTTAATTATTGTGAATGGCTCATGTTTTACCCTGGCTATATCTGCTACATGATTTATGTTCGATTATTTTTTTGACGGAACGTTGGTGGAGCGCCACAGCGATGCGTCTCTCCAACAGGGAGGCGCCCTGGGAATGGACAAGCAAAATATTTTGTTTGACAAAGTAGGCACTGCTTATCACAGGGCGGCATCAGCTACGGTGTGTCCTTCTGAACAACATACTGATACCCATTCTGTCCACTTATCGGCTCACTTTGCCGCTTCCTTTGCCCTCGTGGCTGGGGCCCCTCCCTCTGGCACCGGGCCCTGCGCCCCACGGGATCCCCTGCTGCCCACTAAGCCTGTCCTGGGGGTACCACGGAGGGGGAGGGGACCCCGAGAAGCTGGACGGAGAGCGGCTACGCCCCAGGAAGACCCCTGCCCCCTCACGGAGCTCGTGGCGTGAGGGGGAGGAGCTGAGTGAGCGCTGCAGCGAGGAGGAAGAGCTGCGGGGGCGTGGCGGCGGACTGAAAAGTGCACCGCCGCGGTCCTTCATCAGCTGGGTCAGACTGGCCAGGAAGTCGGCGTCGCTGGTGCTGCTGGCGCGCACCCGGAAACGCCGGCGCCGACTGGGGCAGAGAACAGAAAGGGTAGGATTTTAAAAACTAAAACAAACAATTCTGCAACTATCCTGTATTATTCAGAAACTCATGCCTATACATTCTGATGTGGAGGATGCACCGATATGTTTCTAAACCACCCCACACAGAAAAAATAAGTCTATTATCATTGATGTGGGACACAACCCTTACTATTACAGTCTACTAGGGTTGCGTTCGGCAGGACACAATGTTGTGGAATGTTCAGATACATATATAATGTAGAGCAAACATGCCTCAGATTGAATAGCTGTTGAATAAGAAAGTATGTCAGTTTCATTCTTGACATTTCTATCTGCAACGCTCCATAACGTTTGCTACTGAACGTGGCCGAGTGCTGTGCCATACTACCATGCTCTTCATACCTGTTGTCTACAGCTGGGCGGGTGGGCGGTTTCCCGGGAGGCGGACGAGGCAGGAACCTGCCGGAGGAGGAGAGCAGCTGCTGCTGATCGAGCCCTGGAAAAGGGGGGTTGACGGGCCGGGGGATTTTACTCCTGCTGCCCGAGGAGGAGAGCGAGAGGGAGTCACGGTCTTCCCCCAGCCAGTCGGAGCGTGAACCGCGGTCCGAGCAGGAAAGGAGCCTCTCCCGGACGCCACAGGGCAGTAGATTGTCGCAGGAGAGGGATGGCGAGGGCGAGTGGGAGGGCGAGCCAGGCACAGGGCTGCTCCACCGGTGGCGGCGGTCCATGGTGGGGGAATCCGGGGTGGTGGTTGGATCTCGTACGGGGATGCGGCTCAATTTGGGCGAGGAGGGGGATTCCCTTCGCAGGAGGACCAAGGTGGGTGGGGGAGGGGAGGAGGAGAAGGTGCCGGCGCTCTCCGCGGCGCTTCCGGCTTTCTCCATCTGAGGGTGCTGGTTGGGTTCGGAAGAGCGGTCGGGGAGGCCCGAGTCGCTCTCTGGGTCTTTGTCGTTTGCGAGGTGGGCTGGGATGAGGCTTGGCACAGGGCTGGGGGCTGACTCGACAATCTCCAGCTCCAACTCGTCGACCTTGCCCTCTTGGGGGTCATTGGGTCTGGTTGACGGGGCCTCTAGCGGTATGGCTTCACTCTTCTCCGTCACGGGGGACTGTGGTACGGGGTTGGCAGACTGTGGAGAGGCAGACCAGAGATTATTGGGAGACGGACATGAGAGGGGGTGAGGAGGCACAAGTAGAGCTCGGACAGCAGAGTCCCTGACCATCTTCAGAAAACGACTGAAACCCTACCTCTTCAAAAGAGTCTATTAAATAAGACATCGGTCTTATTCTATCCCCCCAATAAAAAATTACAATTGCGCTTGTCTTTTCCTACTAGCACTGACTTTGCTGATAACTTCTGTATCGAGGAAAGATTGACCTAATACGACTGTGATATGTGGTTGCCTCACCTAGCTATCTTAAGATGAATGCACTTTAAGTAAGTTGCTTTGGATAAAAACGTCTGCTAAATGACTAACATGTAAAATGTAGAGAGAAGTACAGATCTCTGTTCATGTCAGTGTATATCTGGTGTGTGTACAGTTCTTAGCATTCAAAGGTTAACCTGTACTGCAGTGCAGTAAGAAACATTTCCTTCATAATGGATGTAACTGTACCGTCAGGGCCATATTTCAGCTGCAGCAATACATTTTGAAAAAGTAACATTTTAATGCCCAGAATACAACTGTATATGCGTGAGCAATTCTTATTCTGCCAAAGCCTTGCTCGCACTCACCTGCTCCATCTGGGCTCGGCCCATGTGGCCTAGCATCCCAGGCAGCCTCCTGCCTCCCAGTAACCAGGTACAGGGCAGGGCCATGTGGGACAGGACGGGGCTGCTCGGGGCTGAGGGAAGCTGGTGGTCCTGGGCCTCAGCCTCTGATTGCACCCCTAGTTTATTCCCATCCAGAGCATAGTCTCCTGGAGGCTTGGCTGCCCCCGAGGCCCCGCTGCCTCCCCTCTGCTCCAGCATCAACCACTCCTGGGAGTCTCCCTCCTGGGGCACCGAGCTGAGGTTGAGGGCCCCAGCCCCCTCATCCTGGTCGGGGGTCCCCACTCCGCCGGGAGTCCCTGTCGCCTGGTCCTCGTCACAGGGGGTTCCAATCTGCTCACCCTGCCCCCCGCCGCTTCCGGGGATGGTGTTCTGTCGCTCCTGTGGATGCTGCTTCCCCAGACTGGAAATATAAAATAAAATTGGGATTTGACATGAGTAATCGTTTAATAAATATTTAAAGTTGACTAATGGAAATGATATTATAAAAAGAGATTTGTAAAATCTGCATAACTAGCTAATGAACAGTCCAACAAAATAGAGATTAAGTAAATTGCCTTGCATGAGCCTTGGCTTGTGCAAGCTAGAAGCTGGAGCTTATCCTCTGTTTCTGTAGCATGAGGCAGCTTGATGTACAAGTACACCCCCTGGACTAGCCAATGAACAGTCCAACAAATTCGATGTTGGGTGAAACAAAAACCTGCTTACAGGAGAGTTTAAGGACTAAGTTAATACATATCCCACTGCCTTGTGCCTAGTCCTAGTGCAGTGGTTCTCAAACCTCTCCTCGGGACCCCCAGCAGTATTTGATCTATTCCAGAGCTAGCACCCTGATTCTACTTGTCAACTAATCATCAAGCCCTTCATTACTGAATCAGGTGTGGTAGTTCAGGGCTAAAACACATTTGTGAAATTTCTGGCGGTCCCCGAGAGGTTTGAGAACCACTGTCCTACTGTACACTGTAGATCAATATAAACGATTAAACTACTGTAAATGAATGGTAAAAGGTACTGACTAGGCCTCAAGGAAGCGTTCGATGGTGGGCTTGGGTTCGGGAGCCAGTCTCTTCTCGAAGGCCAGGCTCTGGCTGTGTCTCATCCTCCGGAGCAGGGGGGCCGCCCGGTCCAGGAACATGGTCTCTGAGCGCACCCGTATGGGGGAGCTCTGGACGGAGCCTGTGTTGGGGCTCTGGTTGCCACCCTGGTTCTGGCTGTGCTCGTCCTCATTCACCACCTGGAGAAGGGGTTGGAATGTAGTTGTGTCACAAAAAAAGGTGTCGGGAGTAGGACAGACTATTTTAAAGGTAGATTCCGAGATATGACGTTACCAAAGCCAGGTGACTTCCGACAAACACAAAGAGAGGACAAGGTAAGAGGCTAAACTCCTTATCTTTGATTGCTGTTGCTGTCTATGGTCAGGTCATATTGCTTGGTCTTAAAAGAGCGACTGAACACACCAATTCCGCATGTGTATCTCTGTTGTTCATTACAAAAAACAAAATGTCAGTCTTGGGTGTGGTTCGATGTGGCAGTTACTGATGTTTTCCCCCCATGAGACACCATAGGACAGTGGTTCTCAAAGTGGGGTCCATGGACGTGGTACTGCAGAGGTCCGCGGCCAGATCTCTCTCTCTCTGTTCTTTTTTTAAATGAATATTACTAACAACAGATTAGACTAATTTTGGTCAAGGGATCCGTGTAATACGTTTAGAGGGTGTAATTCAATATAATGTCATATTAATCATCTACAATTTCTTAACCCTGGGCAACATGGGCCTGGGAGGCTTACAGGGATATTGATATCCACAGCATTCCAATTATTCATTATTCAACTGAATTTTCTTTATTTTTATAAATGTACACTGTAATTTAAGCTTTAAAAACAGCAGTTTTAACTCAGCATCGTTTGGAAGGGCTCGTAAGCAAGCATTTCACGGTAAGGTCTACACCCATTCTATTCGGCGCATGTGACAAATACAATTTGTATATTGATATTAGCTTTAAAGCTGCAACAACAAAAAAATATCTTCCCCATGACAAAATGTGTAAAATTGGCTTGAAAACTGCTAAATGTTCTCGCCGATGCCAAGAGGCGGCACCTTTAAAATATTCCTTCCCAGGACCTGAGACCTGGTTTGTCCGGCCATACACTGCTTCAGTCATAGTAAAACTCATTGTATGCCATTTCTATCTCACTCAAGTTGTGTTCTGATTATGAGGGGGTACCTGATGAACTTGCAATCCCAAAAGGGGTTTCCAGCCCCAAAAAGTTTGAGAACCCCTGTCATGGGAACAAAGCCAGTATCACTTCCTCCAAATAGTCTGAATGAATCTAGGATAGGGGAAAGTGGGGTAAGTTGAGCTTTCTTTTTTCTTCCATTTTTGTTAATATAAAAAAAAATACATTCAGCAGGGTAAATAAATTAAGCTGCCTAGAAATTTCTGTACTGAATGAAATATTACCACTACCTTTTTAAAACCATGTCAATCTTTATTTCCCAAACACAATTCAAGACAATCAATCGTTTATTTACTTTTAATCATTTAAAGCTTTTAACACAGGCTTAACACAAATAGGTCCAGGCCCTGTTGTTACCTCGTATCCCAGCGATAATGCCTTGCATTACACCTAGGAAAAACAACACTTCAATTTGCTCAACTTGACATTGGCTCAACTTACCCCAAGGCAAACATTTTCACTATATTAGCCCACACAACTACAAGACCTCACGTCCATGCTAGGAAGCTTATAGAGACCCCAACTGATGTATAGAACAATCTTAAAATGATCTACTTTCTGGCCTCCTGAGTGGCGCAGCGGTCTAAGGCACTGCATCGCGTGCTGGGAGACCCATGAGGCGGCACACAATTTGCACAGCGTCGTCCGGGTTAGGGGAGGGTTTGGCCTGCTGGGATGTCCTTGTCCCATCTCAGTGGTGTTGCACACATTGTTAATATGCATTACTGCAGTTACAGATGGACCAAGAACATCACTGTATAGAATCAGTATAGAAAAGTATAGTATAGAAAATACAGTCTTCAGTATAGAAAATTAACCTGATGAAGTAGACAGGGTTGGCTGAACTGAAGCAGTAAAGGGAAACTAATGGGGGTGTATCTTTGATAGCATGTCATAATTGTGTGTTCCTCTGTCTCAAACCCAATATTTATTTATATGGTCAATAATATTTTCTTTCACAAAAACGTTTAATATGCGTGTGTTCCAATCCTGACCTTCCTGATGAGCGGTTGTTGTTGTTGCTGGGCTGCGGTCTGGTTGCAGTTGCGGTTGCGGTCCATCTCCTCCCACACGTCAGCGCCCTGGGCAGCACGTTGGTGCTGGGCCGGGATTGGGGGGCAGTTGTCGGCATCGCTGAGACGCTCGCCCTGCAGTACGTCCTCAGTGTTCTCCCTCTGCAGCTCGGCGGGGAGCACCGAGGCGTTGGCCATGCTGGGGGGAGATAGAGGAGGAGGAAGGGAGGGTGGAGAGAGGGAGAAGGAGAAAGAGAAGCGAGAGTGAGAGAGAGGGAGTCAGGAAGGGAGAGAGAAAGGGAGAGAAAAAGGGACAGAGAGGAGAGAGTGAGAGAAAGAGAGGGAAGGTCATTCAGCTGCTACTTTCCAGAGAACAAATTAGGCCGGTGGTTTCCAAGGGATCGCTGACCGAATATACAGATTTGCCTTCCCCCCAAAAAAGGCTTTGCAGATTTGAAAGAATTGCGTGAGTGGGACAAAAGTTGTACCACGTCGATTTGAAGGAAGGTATTACAGTCCAATCAGCAAATGCTGACCAATTAAGCATCAATTACACCCATACACACAAATATTCTGCATCACACCAATCAACACGAAGCCGAACAAAGTTATGTATTACCATAACCGTCAGCCCAATTCTGATTTTTTTTTACTGATTGGACTTATGACCAATCAGATCAGCTCGGAAAAATATCTGATGTGAAAAGATCTGGGGCAACATTTATCAATCATGCATAGGCAAAAATCTGTGCGTAAAACTTGCGTGGGATCATTTCCACGCAAAGTGTGAGATTTATCAATATGAACGTTTGCTTGAGAGTGTGCGTAAGTTTACACACATCCATGACCATGCGTGCGCACAGTGCCCAGTGGTGGAATAAGGGGACTGCTTATCAAGCATTGAATGGGGAATGTTTTGTTACGATAATCCATATAAAGTACAGTTATTTGTTAAATGGACATTTAAAAAAAATTCTACTTCATATTCATCATCTCCAGCCCCACCCCAACATCAATATATGTGAAAATTGCGCATTTCTAGGTTTTGTAGTAAAAAAGACAGAGGAAGATAAGTGTTTCCAATGACATCGGTGTGCATCGTGCTATTTTAACAAATTATGAGTAGGCATTGCCTACTAATTGGTTTAAGCTGTCATTGGAAACACTTACCTTCCTCTGTCTTTTTTACTACAAAACCTAGAAACGCGCAATTTTCACATATATTGATGTTGGGGTGGGGCTGGAGATGAAGGATATGAAGTTGAACATTTTTGAAATGTCCATTTAACAAATAACTGTACTTTATATGGATTATCGTAACAAAATGTACTGATGTGGTCAAATTATATGATACAGCCTGTCAAGATATGTTGAATGAATTCACAATGGATATGAAGTTGAACATTTCATACATTTCCCTTTAAATTAGAGACACATCATCAGCAAAACAAACAGCAACACGTACAATTTCCATACACCATCGCACAACAGGTTGAAGTCAAGAGGGGTTTCTTTGCCATGATGCCATCAATGGGTTTTCCAAATACGAACGGAGCAATAGACGACACCAACATAAAAGCATCCTCCCAAAACAAGTTCAACTATGTGAACAAAAAAGGCATCCACTCTTAATGTGCAGGTGATAGGTTAAACGATGCGCATAAGACACTGCTGAATGTGGTGGCAAGGTGGCACGCACGACTTGTTCATTCTGCAGAACAGCAACGTTGGCCTTTATGCCTAAAGGCAGGAGCTGTTGAGGATGGATGGCTTATTGGCGAGTGTTGCCTACTCCTTTTAAGTATGTTTGCCATTGCTAAAGCAACTTGAATTGTCCTAATGGTCCTCTCTTTGTTGCTATGTTTTTACTGGTCAAGCTACAACGGAGCAAGCCAAATAAAACCTTTTGGTTTTACTCAATCTCTAACACAAGCACCTATATATTTCAGTCTCTGAAAATATCGCTTTTTTTTGGTTACGCCATTGTATTTCATGGTACGGCGTTGTATATTCCCCACAAGGTTTAAAGGGATGATTTTTACCATATATGCACTGAGGCTGAGAACAATTGGTATTTATCAATGGTCATCTCCTACCGGTGTGCATATGACACTCGTAGGATTGTTTGATAAAACACTTTTTCTATGCATACGAACATTCTAAATTCTGTTCGTAAGTAGTATTTTAGAATAGTTTCTAGGCAAATAATGATAAATGAGGCCCCTGATGTGACTGGTCAAAATACCAATTAGTGGAAGAAATATCAGAATTGGGCAGCCTGTCTAAACACAGCCTTAGAGTGGAACAGTTATCATTTTGGATTAGAGTCGTAAAATTTCGGGAACTTTCCCAAAATTCCCAGGTTTTCCAGAAATCTTAGTTCTACCTCTCCCCTACTATTTTCAAACAATATGCCATCATTGCAGTTCTTACCCCATGTAAGCAGGTGTGAGGCGGGTGAGTTGCTGAGCGGTGTTGGTTGAGCCGGTGATGGTCAGCATATCCTCGGAGTCGCACCTCTCCCAGTCATACGGGTCGTTCTCCAACACGTTGTGGCTCTTCATGGCATTCTCAAACACTGAAATTAGTAGCTGGAACATAACAACCAAAACCATTGACATTTAGCATTATGAGACAATGGGAAGATCTATTGTTGGCTTGCTGTTGGCAGACAAATACATGCATAGGGGTGGGGGTCAATTCCATTCAAATTCAGTTAAACCAGGAAGTTAGGGGTTGTCCCCGACTAAAAAATATATTGGTCGACCAAGAGTCATCTGTTCTTTTGACCTATCAATTGGTCGACATTTTTAAACCATATATTTACACATTCTATGTGTTTTAATCAAATCACCTATATTCACTGAGCTTGTCTGACACTTAAAACACACGGTTTGATTAAATAATTAAGACACACAAATGACTAGAAGGAGTCCGACCAGCAATTGATTTGATTGTGCCAGGCCAGCTCAGACTTGCTGCGCTGTGTTAAAAAGAAAAAAGACAGCGAGTGACTGACTAGCACTCGTTGTCTCTCTCTCCTCCCTGCTGCAGCGACCACCACAGAACATCAATGTGTTTATCACGCTGTCTGTGTTGCTGAAGCTGCAACATAATTACTGCCATTTCTGTTACCGAAATCCTTCATTTGTTTAGGAAAAACATTCCCTATTCCCTCAACCCTTGCTCTCTTTACATGACACATGTGTGCATCGCAAGCACGTGACCAAAGACCTATTCGCACCGGACTAGTATTACTACAGAACGTTAGTTGTGTAATTATTATTCCAGAATGTCCTTTATTCCAGAGGACGATTCAGACGGGATTCGTTTTTTCCAAACTGCCCCCTGTAATTCTTTATTTTTTTCCAATAAATTGACAGTTATGACGGAACCCTGGAGGTTTGTATTCTAGGCGTGAAGATACAGTGTTTCAACATGTCCAGGTGATAGGGCCACACTGTTTAACTAGAGGTTGGTTCCAAAGTTTCTTAATCATCTTTCCTATGGTGTCGTCATAATATTTGAATTGAGGAAGTGTGATCATTATCTTTAGGATATTTTAGCGATCCACAGTACGTCCTAAATGCCCCCCAGCCTTGCTAAACAGTGCAATTGCACTTGAGATGCATTTTAAGGCTATTGATTAGAAAGTTAACTTATCATTTCCAAACGTTTCGGTCAGTTGTATGCTGCTGCTTTGAGATCTATTAACAGCAAGGGTTGCATTAAATTAGGCTCAATATTTTTTTACTGATGCATTAGGCAATGTTCAATTCATACGCACAAAACATATAACGTTAAACAAAAGCACTCACTGTGAAAGTTGATAGGCTACATGTAGGCCAGTCATATATAGTTTATGCGCAGCACTTAGTTCAATTTATCGAATCAGTTATTGTTTTCTTGCGCAAACCACGAGCAACACCTGCTGACATTCAGAGCTTAAATAGCCAAATTGATTAGTCACAGGAACCAGGACTAATAAAGCTCAGACATCTCAAAACATAGGGATGTCGATTCGCACGGGACTAGTATTATCAGAAAAACAGTAGGTTATTCTGTCTGGAATTGTTACTCTCCTGCCATGTAAAAATTAGTGCCATGGCAGATTCAGACAGGACAAAAAGTACAGATGTGTTGTTTTGTGCTCCTGCACATAATTACATTACCCAACCTCCGCCAGTAAAACGAATCCCGTCCGGATAGGGCACAATAGGGCCTGACATATAGCCAGGGCCGGTCTTTGCCTTTCTGCCGCCATAGGCAAGGCCAAAAAAATGCCACACCCCACAAAACTAGAATAGTCCCAGTAAGAAAAATGACGGTGAAAATAAGTCTAAAAGACGTATTTTCCAGATTTTTCAATGTAGGTTCTGAATGAAATGTGAAATGGTATTTTCCATATGTTTAAAATATTTTTTTTCCAGGACGCTGAAAAGGCATATTTTCCGGACATTGAGAAATATGTATTTTCTTGATGTTGAAATCAGGTTCATTTTTGGTTCTGAATGAAAGTTGAAAATAAGTAATTTATAGATGTCCATGTTTGGGCCAAATCAAGGCTGTTCCAGACCGGACAAAATCTGAACCAAACATAAACGTCTATGATTGGTTCAGATTTGGTCCGGACTGGACCAAAATCCTATGTCCGTGGGATGTGGAAATCAAAGTGGTCCGGAACTGCACCAAAAAAAGACATCCAAAAGATGTCGTCTCGTGCTTACTAGCGTGTAGCCTACCATGTCGGCCCGCAATGTAATTTTATCAATGCCCATCCATGTGGTAGGCCCACCGTTTGTAAAACAGCCCATTGCATTGGCTTTATTAGTCCTGATTCCTGTGACTAATCAATGTGGCTATTTAAGCTCTGAATGTCAGCTACCCAACTTTATCAGGAGTTATCCTGAGCCTATTTGCAATGGAAATGCAGAAGTATTTTCTGTTTCGCTATGATCAGCTTGTCAAAAGAATTTACGGATACAAACTTGAAATCACTGATCATGACAATGGGGTGAAACTCCTGGACAACAGTTGTGATTGTCCATTCCATATTGTCCATTTTATTTTGACCTGTCCTGTTGTTAGGATGTTGCTTCGTGACAGCTCATTTTGTATTTGATTGAGCCCCATTTAGGTTAGGCTATTTGATTGGAGAAATGATGTTAAAGTGTCCGTCTCATTACATTGTCATACATTTTATCTCCAGCCTGTAGGCTACAGAAAAGGTTGTGTGTGCCAAACAGGTGCTGTATAGATTACAATCTAATTTTTTGTTAAACCTTTATTACAGCAAAGACTAAAAACAGTTGCATTCATTCATGAATGCAATTTCCAAAATGGAACGGTTTATTTATTGTTTAAACTAATTATTCAAGGCTTGCTTTATTTTAAAACTAAAATGCTTGATTGCATTTCAAATCATGAATGACTCGTATGCTGTGTGATGACGTGAACTAATTAATGATTGATTGATACAGTAGCCTGTATAAGTATTGAAATATAGGCCTAAGTAAGTTACAGTATTAAGACTAAAAAGGATGCCCTGTTACGCCTGCAGCTCAATAGTGGTTATACAAGGCTGCTATACTAGCCTACTAATGATAATGACATTACTTATGACCATAATAGTAATAATAACAATAACAAGGAGATCAAGAAAAAGGAGCGTTTTTGCTATTATAAATATTCGGACAATTTGGAAAAGTGTAAACAACACTAAATACATTTGAAATCATACCAAAGAGGCTGTTCTAACGAAAAACAAGTCTAAATCCTTTATTACAGCAAAGCAAAGATTAAAAACAGCCGAATTTGTGAAATTGTTTACTTAACATGTCATTGCGTGAGGCTTGGTGCTAACGGAATCAGTAGGCTATTAAACAAACACACAAACAGGCAATAGAATCAGGATCTGTCTTGTCTGTAGATATATTGATGATTTATAAAGCCAGGCACTTTTAACAGTTAGGCTATTGATTATAGACCTAATTACAGTGAGGGGAAAAAAGTATTTGATCCCCTGCTGATTTTGTATGTTTGCCCACTGACAAAGATGATCAGTCTATAATTTTAATGGTAGGTTTATTTGAACAGTGAGAAACAGAATAACAACAAAAAAATCAAGAAAAACGCATGTCAAAAATGTTATAAATTGATTTGCATTTTAAATGAGGGAAATAAGTATTTGACTCCTCTGCAAAACATGACTTAGTACTTGGTGGCAAAACAATTGTTGGCAATCACAGAGCTCAGACGTTTCTTGTAGTTGGCTCCCGTGTGGCGCAGCGGTCTAAGGAACTGCATCTCAGTGCTTGAGGCATCACTACAGACCCCCTGGTTCGATTCCAGGCTGTATCACAACCGGCCGTGATTGGGAGTCCCGTAGGGCGGTGCACAATTGGCCCAGTGTCGTCCAGGTTTGGCCGGTGTAGGCAGTCATTGTAAATAAGAATTTGTTCTTAACTGACTTGCCTAGTTAAATAAAGGTAACAAAAATAAATAGTTTGCACACATCTCAGGAGGGATTTTGTCCCACTCCTCTTTGCAGACCTTCTCCAAGTCATTAAGGTTTCGAGCCTGACGTTTGGCAACTCAAACCTTCAGCTCCCTCCACAGATATTCTACAGGATTAAGGTCTGGAGACTGGCTAGGCCATTCCAGGACCTTAATGTGCTTCTTCTTGAGCCACTCCTTTGTTGCCTTGGCCATGTGTTTTGGGTCATTGTCATGCAGGAATACCCATCCACAACCCATTTTCAATGCCCTGGCTGAGGGAAGGAGGTTCTCACCCAAGATTTGACGGTACATGGCCCCGTCCATCGTCCCTTTGATGCGGTGAAGTTGTCCTGTCCCCTTAGTGGAAAAACACCCCCAAAGCATAATGTTTCCACCTCCATGTTTGACGGTGGGGATGGTGTTCTTGGGGTCATAGGCAGCATTCCTCCTCCTCCAAACACGGCGAGTTGAGTTGATGCCAAAGAGCTCCATTTTGGTCTCATCTGACCACAACACTTTCACCCAGTTCTCCTCTGAATCATTCAGATGTTCATTGGCAAACTTCAGACGGGCCTGTATATGTGCTTTCTTGAGCAGGGGGACCTTGCGGGCGCTGCAGGATTTCAGTCCTTCACGGCGTAGAGTGTTACCAATTGTTTTCTTGGTGACTATGGTCCCAGCTGCCTTGAGATCATTGACAAGATCCTCCCGTGTAGTTCTGGGCTGATTCCTCACCATTCTCATGATCATTGCAACTCCAAGAGGTGAGATCTTGCATGGAGCCCCAGGCAGAGTGAGATTGACAGTTCTTTTGTGTTTCTTCCATTTGCGAATAATCGCACCAACTGTTGTCACCTTCTCACCAAGCTGCTTGGCGATGGTCTTGTAGCCCATTCCAGCCTTGTGTAGGTCTACAATCTTTGTCCCTGACATCCTTGGAGAGCTATTTGGTCTTGGCCATGGTGGAGAGTTTGGAATCTGATTGATTGATTGCTTCTGTGGACAGGTGTCTTTTATACAGGTAACAAGCTGAGATTAGGAGCACTCCCTTTAAAATATTTTTTTGTTGTTATTCTGTCTCTCACTGTTCAAAAAAGCTACCATTAAAATTATAGACTGATCATTTCTTTGTCAGTGGGAAAACGTACAAAATCAGCAGGGGATCAAATACCCTTTTCCCTCACTGTAAGTTCAGGTTTCTTCTCTCCTCACTTTTCTTAGACAATAAGGCAATGGGTGTTTTCTCATATCCTCATTCTGCTGCTGCCTCCGCGGCATTGTTCTCAACACCAATATGCTGGTTAACTTTGCTATTATGCACATAGCAACATGGTCTAGGAAAAGGTGGCAATTGAACAGCACACTGATGTGTTTCAGAACCGTGGACAGCAACTGCTATCCAAAGAGGGAGAAAGCGCATTTGTTATAAAATAATACAATTTTTTTAGTGTTGCACCATTATTCTTATGTAATAATACCATGTACAATTTCAGTAGCATATGTCTTAGACTGATGGACTGTGCCATCCCCAAGGCCTCCACAATGGATCAGTCCACTCAGACAGACTCCCGAGTGGCGCAGCGGGCTAAGGCACTGCATCTCAGTGCTTGAGGCATCACTACAGACCCCCTGGTTCGATTCCAGGCTGTATCACAACCGGCTGTGATTGGGAGTCCCATAGGGCGGCGCACAATTGGCCCAGCGTCGTCCGGGTTTGGCCGGTGTAGGCCGTCATTGTAAATAAGAATTTGTTCTTAACTGACTTGCCTAGTTAAATAAAGGTTAAAAAAAAATAAAATTAAATACAGCCGCGAATCAGACAGGTGTCTTGTACAACATTATCTTTTATTATTTAATTTTTTTGCTACTGCTCGACTAAAGAAATCTCGGTCGACCAACAACCTATCGACCAAACAATCGACCAGTTGACTAAATGGGGTCAGCCCTACAGGAAGTAAATTAAAATCCCAACTCCAATTCCAAGAAAGATTGGAATTGGAATTTTGGTTTATTTTCTGGATATTTGAGTTAATGCACACATATGGAAACATTTAGACCAACGTTACCTGATAGTCAGGCTTAGTGAAGTAGTCCAGGGTCAGGATATGATCCAGGAAGATGCTGAACTCTGAGGGGAGGTGTTTGAGCATGAGGCGATTGTCGTAGGTCTCCTTTAGGTTCCCCACCTGTTCCTGTGAGTAGAGGGAAAAGAGCATGAACACACATGCTCATTCATGTACAGTACACACACATGCGCGCACACACAAACACTTACTTTGTCTTTGACCTTCCTCCAGGGTAGCTGGCCCACCGTGAACTCCACCAGCATGTAGAAGAGAGACCAGAGGTCATCATGGCGACCCATCTCCTGAAGACCACAGACACACACACATCATGGGTGAGCAAGGTGAGAACACCTACTCATACAGTGGCTTGTGAAAGTATTCACCCCCCTTGGCATTTTTCCTATTTTGTTACCTTACAACCTGGAATTAAAATGGATTTTTTGGGGGGGGTTGTATCATTTGATTTACACAACATGCCTACCACTTTGAAGATGCAAAATACTTGAGCGTGCATAACTATTCAACCCCCCAAAGTCAATACTTTGTAGAGCCACTTTTCGCAGCAATTATAGCTGCAAGTCTCTTGGGGTATGTCTCTATAAGCTTGGCACATCTAGCCACTCGGATTTTTGCCCATTCTTCAAGGCAAAACTGCTCCAGCTCCTTCAAGTTGGATGGGTTAATATGGTGTACAGCAATCTTTAAGTCATACCACATATTCTCAATTGGATTGAGGTCTGGGCTTTGACTAGGCCATTCCAAGACATTTAAATGTGTCCCCTTAAACCACTCAAGTGTTGCTTTAGCAGTATGCTTAGGGTCATTGTCCTGCTGGAAGGTGAACCTCCGTCCCAGTCTCAAATCTCTGGAAGACTGAAACAGGTTTCCCTCAAGGATTTCCCTTTATTTAGCGCCATCCATCATTCCTTCAATTCTGAGCAGTTTCCCAGTCCCTGCCGATGAAAAACATCCCCACAGCATGATGCTGCCACCACCATGCTTCACTGTGGGGATGGTGTTCGCGGGGTGATGAGAGGTGTTGGGTTTGCGCCAGTCATAGCGTTTTCCTTGATGGCCAAAAAGCTCAACTTTAGTCTCCTCTGACCAGAGTACATTATTCCATATGTTTAGGGAGTCTCCAACATGCCTTTTGGCGAACACCAAACGTGTTTGCTTATTATTTTCTTTAAGCAATGGCTTTTTTCTGGCCAGTCTTCCGTAAAGCCCAGCTCTGTGGAGAGTACGGCTTAAAGTGGTCCTATGGACAGATACTCCAATCTCCGCTGTGGAGCTTTGCAGCACCTTCAGGGTTATCTTTGGTCTCTTTGTTGCCTCTCTGATTAATGCCCTCCTTGCCTGGTCCATGAGTTTTGGTGGGCGGCCCTCTCTTGGCAGGTTTGTTGTGGTGCCATATTCTTTCAATTTTTTAATAATGAATTTAATGGTGCTCCGTGGGATGTTCAAAGTTTCGGATATTTTTTAATAACCCAACCCTGATCTGTACTTCTCCACAACTTTGTCCCTGACCTGTTCGGAGAGCTCCTTGGTCTTCATGGTGCTGCTTGCTTGGTGGTGCCCCTTTCTGTTGCAGACTCTGGGGCCTTTCAGAAAAGGTGTATATATACTGAGATCATGTGACAGATTATGTGACACTTTGCACACAGGTGGACTTTATTTAACTAATTATGTGACTTCTGAAGGTAATTGGTTGCACCAGATCTTATTTAGGGGCTTCATAGCAAAGGGGGTGAATACATATGCACGCACCACTTTTCCGTTATTTTTTAGAATTTTTTGAAACAAGTTATTTGTTTTCATTTCACTTCACCAATTTGAGAGAGAGAGAGAGAGACTCACCTTATTCTTGTGTGCATTGACTGAGGCATAGCGCACTGTTCCTCTGAACCCTGCCACGGGACGAGGCTGACAGAGAGAGAGAGGGATAAGAAATTAAATTGAAGCTTCAATATTCACACTTGCATACTACTTAGAATGCATGCCCAATTCATTGCTTCATTTTAAGTTGACATTGAAATGTAGCCATCCACAGATTAAATTTAGACATAACATTGACATTTTAGTAATTTAGCAGACGCTCTTATCCAGAGCGACTAACAGGAGTGAGTGCATACATTTTCATACTTTTTTCGTACTGGTCCCCCGTGGGAATCGAACCCACACCCCTGGCATTGCAAGCACCATGCTCTACCAACTGAACCTCACGCGCACACACACGCGCAGGAATACTTACAGGACGCACTTCCTGACAAGAGTTGGTGAACTGTCGGGCCAGACCAAAGTCGAGCATGTAGCAGCATCGACACGTGCTGGCCAGGCGCCCCATGGCAAAGTTTGACTGGGGTGGTACAAACACAGTAAATCAGTCACTGATACTTAGTCTTTGTCCTTGCCATTGATCTGATTAAGCAGGCAATAATCTAAGTAAATCCTGTTACTTTTTCCAGCAAAGCCTGGTATAATGCTTTGAAACTTGATGGTGTCTTATAATAGGTCATTTCTTTACTGATAATAACAAAGTGGCTGGGACTTAGTCAGGATCATTATGAGATGATAATGAGACATAAGGGTGTCATACATGCTTATAACAAGTTGTGCAATGCATTATAACCGCTTAAAGCGATATACCTGCATTCATACACTGCACGCAGAGACATAAAAATGGTATCCATTAGTTAATCTGACTCTGGGTAAGTAGAAAAAAGGGCTTGATTGCCAAAATGTCAAACTATCCCTTTAAGGCTGTAAGTTGAGTGTTACCAGTAAAGTATTTATGCTCTTATCTTGTTCCCTTACCCCTGATACATCACCCCTTATTGTTCCCTCATCTTCTGACCAAATGACCCCTTACCGGTTTGATGTCGCGGTGCAGGAAGCCCACAGAGTGGATGCTCTCGATGGCCTCCAGCATCTGCCGGCCCAACCTCAGAGTGGTGGAGACGGTGAAGGTGCCGCGAGACATAGTTCTGCGCAGGTCTGCCAGATTCCTCCCCTATAGGACACAGACAGTAAAGCAATGTTTGTGGGATGGGGTATGGGGTGATGACATGGTCACCCAAGGCTGAGCTACTCACTCATTCTTTCCCACACACATTTCAAATAATTTATTTGAATCCACAAATCAAATTACAATTAAAGGGATTCAAATATTTCAAAGGTCGCACACACGGCCAGAAACCCTACCTGAAGTTCCATCACCACATAGTTGAAGCGATCATTGCGGCCACAACCTACAAAGCGACACACATGATCTTTACCTGAAACAGAGAAACATAAATGTTGCTTAGAAGGTCTCTCTTCTAAAAAACATCAGATATTTACAGTATCTGGCCAAATGATTAGAAACGCGTAAATATTCAATCCATATTTTCCACAAAGGTTTGATACGTTTGTGTGAATTTCAAAGTTATGGACATTTCAGTGTTTTCCGAACGACCTCCATTCTAGACGTACAAGTACACTACCGTTCAAAAGCTTGGGGTCACTTAGAAATGTCCTTGTTTTCGAAAGAAAAGCAATTTTTTTGTCCATTAAAATAACATCAAATTTATCAGAAACACAGTGTAGACATTGTTAATGTTGTAAATGGCTATTGTAACTGGAAACTGCTGATTTTTTATGGAATATCTACATAGGCGTTCAGAGACCCATTATCAGCAACCATCAGTCCTGTGTTCCAATGGCACGTTGTGTTTGCTAATCCAAGTTTATCATTTTAAAAGGCTAATTGATCATTAGAAAATCCTTTTGCAATTATGTTAGCACAGCTGAAAACTGTTGTGCTGATTAAAGAAGCAATAAAACTGGCCTTCTTGAGACTAGTTGAGTATCTGGAGCATCAGCAATTGTGGGTTCGATTACAGAATCAAAATGGCCAGAAACAAATAACTTTCTTCTGAAAGTGCTGACCTTCTAGGCAGAGTTGAAAAGAAAAAGCCATATCTCAAACTGCCCATCTTAATCTTTTCTTTTTATTGACCAGTCTGAGATATGGCTTTTTCTTTGCAACTCTGCCTAGAAGGTCAGCATCCCGGAGTCGCCTCTTCACTGTTGACGTTGAGACTGGTGTTTTGCGGGTACTATTTAATGAAGCTGCCAGTTGAGGACCTGTGAGGCGTCTGTTTCTCAAACTAGACAATCTAATGTATTCCTCTTGCTCAGTTGTGCACCGGGGCCTCCCACTCCTCTTTCTATTCTGGTTAGAGCCAGTTTGCGCTGTTCTGTGAAGGGAGTAGTACAAAGCGTTGTACGAGATCTTCAGTTTCTTGGCAATTTCTCGCATGGAATAGCCTTCATTTCTCAGAACAAGAATATACTGACGAGTTTCAGAAGAAAGTTATTTGTTTCTGGCCATTTTGAGCCTGTAATCGAACCCACAATTACTGATGCTCCAGATACTCAACTAGTCTCAAGAAGGCCAGTTAGCACAGTTTTCAGCTGTGCTAACATAATTGCAAAAGGATTTTCTAATGATCAATTAGCCTTTTAAAATGATAAACTTGGATTAGCAAACACAACGTGCCATTGGAACACAGGACTGATGGTTGCTGATAATGGGCCTCTGAACGCCTATGTAGATATTCTATTAAAAATCAGCCATTTCCAGCTACAATAGCCATTTACAACATTAACAATGTCTACACTGTATTTCTGATCAATTTGATGTTATTTTAATGGGCAAAAAAATTGCTTTTCTTTCGAAAACAAGGACATTTCTAAGTGACCCCAAACTTTTGAACGATAGTGTATATCTGAGGTCGTACTGTATTCCAACAGGACCCCTGTCTTCTCTCACCCTGGAGCTTCTTCAGCACGGCCACCTCCATCTTCAGCACCTGTTTGGCCTGCTGGGCAGACTCCACCTTCAGGGCCACGTTGACCTGGCTCAGCTGATCCAGCACCTCGTAGATCTCCCCAAAGCCACCCCCGCCAATTTTCTTCACCTGAAAATGGAATGGAGAAGGTGGAATGCAGGTAGTAAAGAAAGAAGAGAGAGGGGGTGGGTGGGGGATGGAGGTGGAAAGAGAGAAAGAGAGGGAAGTCGTGAGTGTTCTGTATAAAAAGTGCCATACTGTACCTACAGAAGGTACACACACATCTCATACCGGTTAGACCCATTACGTAACACATTACAGAAAGCTGTTTTGACATTATCGCTGCTGCCTTCTCGCTAGGAGAATGGGAGCAGCAACAAGACAGATTTGACCAAAGCTAGCTGTGCCCTTTCTGCAGCCGGTAGTATTTATAGTAACTCACCACTCTCCATCTCTCCCGGACCAGGTCTGTGACTGACAGGATGTCTGCCGCCTGCTCTACTGCACCACTCATCCCAAGTGCTGCTCGGAGTGCTCCCAATGATGGCCTGCACCTGGCATCAGTGTCGCTGGCTTTTACTGCAGAAAGAAAGGGAGAAAGGGGGAAAGGAGGGAGACATTTAGATTTTGACAACTGACAAATCATGCAAAAGTGGAGACCTTGACAACCTCCATCTACATGTGTCCCCAGAGAGATGTCAAAATGTGCGTGTTGTCACTGTCATTTCACTTTCTTCACCTATATACTAATGTAAAGGATGTATTGTAACATTTACATCCATTTGTTTATACCCACAGCAAATAATGTTTATTTGGATAATCGCATCACTGGACATATTAAAAGCCCCATCAGCAGAATCTACAACCTCTATTGCACGCTACTTTCAAATCCCATTTAGCCAAGTACTTTTTCTTACTGTTGTAATAGCTAATATAGCTAAGAATAATGCATGAACACACAGTGATTGACACAGAGCTGCTTGTTCTCAACTTACCCTGTGTGTTGCTTACTTAGCCAACAGACATAGCAATGTACCAACCCAACATAGCCATCCTATTTCAGCATCATCAGCTGTCATTCTGAAAACTGTCAATAGAGGCATTTAATTTCATAAAATATCTGGCTAGCTGGCTAACGTTAGCTAGGTCTAGTAACGTTAAGGTCTTGCAAAAGAGATGGAGAACGGATAGCTTTGCTAAAATTAGCTAGCGTACCTTGTTTGACAACAAAGCACCACCCTCTGCTTCCACCACGCACTGGACCAGTTAGCTAACGTTAACTATCAACAAACCAATGCTAGCAGCTAGCCATCTTTTTAGACAGCTATCTATCTATCTATCTATCTGGCATTTAGTAGTTGGGGTAACACTAAATATAGGTAACCCTAACTAGCTAACTAGTACAAGCAAAAATGTTATTGTCTCTGTAACAAGTCGTTTATTTAGCAAGCAAAATAGCTGGAATGCTATGTAGCAAGCCTAGCTAGCTAATTTTGGCTAGCAAGGCAGATGCACATGCATGCGGCTGTTTCATCTAACCTACCTTATTTGATTACACCATTTCCAAGCATGTACTATTTTAAATCCAGACAGTTAAGTGACATTTCTCCATATCCATTGCTGTGCTTTCAACTCTTAAAACGTTTTATTGTGTACATAACGGAAGGTGGAGAAGGTTTCTCCTCCGCTCATTCACACAACAGCAGCGATTACGTCACGGGCAAGCGCTCCTTGTATCAACTGATTGATCAATCTGCATCCCCTCTGCAGAGTTATCTCTTCGAGAAGAGGATGCTCGATCTACACTGCCGGGCTAGGGAGACGAAATATAGATGTCACTGTCATAGCATTATTATAAGCAACAGAGTTTCCTGGCACATGCTAAAACTGTGATGAGATTGTGAGATTGCAGTATTATGCGCAAAAGAGTGGCACCTCATAACAGCAATGCAGTCAGTGCAGTACTGCATTGACACCAGAGACTGATCGACAGTGACAGGTCACTGGCATTGAACAAATGACAGTTCAGAATGAATCCACTGACATTTTAAAGCTAAGTTGTGCTATCAAATGCTACATAGAATACTTTGGAAATGCAAAATTGTGCTAATTCTATATATACACAAAGTATTACATTGCCACACCACTGTACTGTCCAAAATGAATCACCTTGGATTTGGCCAAGCATGCACCCTTCAACATGCGAGGCTGGGAGCCACCTTGCTGACAGAATTTCCCTGCAGAAGCACTTCCAGGATGTGTTGCAATTTACTGGATGATGCCATACACAAGCAGTGGGACAACCATATAAATCATTGGGACAACCTTATAAAGTGGATAATAGGCGTGGTCAGACAATCGAATTGGCTAACAGGACGTCAGTTGAGCAGTTGAAGGGTGAAGCAGAGCATTCACAAGCGTCAGAACTTTAACGATTTTGCGCAGCTTCACAGATTTATAAACACTCTGTTCAGGCTGATTGCATCTGTGAATATAATAGGAAACAACGCATATTACAGACAGATTTGTGAAAAAACGCAACAAAAAACAATGTCATTCACATTTTGAGCATACCCGACGTTATCAGTTTATGTACGTATACACACTCGATGCGGGGAGAAAGTTTCTGGACATGTTTTCCTGAAAGTGTGTTATTAATTCACTGTTACAGTGTGCAACATCCTAGACACTGGATCATCTGATTTCGGATTAAACGATAAACATTGCGACACCAAATCCCGTGTTTGCATGGTTTCGATGCAAGTTGTTTACTCTTTGGTCTGAAGAAAAGTAGTCGAAGTATGTCAACTGCTGCGCACGATCCCGTCATGCAGTCGACTTTGGCCCAGAGCAAATTGGCTCCGCAGAACTTGCTGTCAGATACATAAAGCGATATTGAAACGGTAAGTGTCTATTGAATTCGTGGCATATCACGTGAATGTTGTCGATCAACATGAGCCCAAAATATGGAGAACTTTAAATTGTAAACAGAATCCCATGGCAGTATTCAATGTGTGTTTTGTAGGTTATTTTTGTTTTTGTTTTTTTAACTCAAGGAGCCACGATGTAATTTAGATAACCTGGCAACATGTATTGTACACAAACTCCCGCGTAGATTGTTACTGTATCTGATCTGCGACGGTAACAGTGTGGCAACATAATACTTCAATGCAACACAAAAGGTTGCCTGCAATTTCGATGCAATTGGCTGGCGACTAGGGGCTCCACGAGGGGGGTAGAAACACTGAAAGCGGCTCTGCTAGTTTTCCCTCGCTTCCTGTATTTGTCGTTGTGTTAAATGGCAATTATGTGTAGAGTCCACGCCTCGCGCTGTCGCTGCCTGCTTTTATCACAGTCGAAATTAACGCCTATGTTCTGTAAACAATGGGCCGACACGGATTATTTTGTGTCTGACGTGTCATTACATGTGTATTGGATTTGGATGTATTGAAGTAATAATGCTTTGCTTGTACAATACGTGTACAGTGCATGCTATCTGAAACTTATTTTACTTTCATTATGAATACCCTGTAACCCAGTTCCTTCCTCTGAGCAAAGCAAACAGACCTGGCTTGCACAAAAGCTTGTTGAAAACGTACTTTATTAACAGTAATTTTTCTCATTCTCTATCTTTCAGGGTCCTGCACATGAATGAGGGACAAAAGGGGATCTAGGGCCACTGTGACCCCTAACAGCAGCAAACTTCTTCAGATCTGACTTTGGGTAGGAGGGTTGTGTGGTCTCCACCCTTTACCCTTTCCTGTAGGACTTATGTTTCCTCCCGAATCCTTCTGTTCTCGCTATTAAACAAAACGGGCCACAACGGTCCCAGACCGAGGCAGTGTAAGCAGGCACACTTGGTCTCGTCCCTGTTTTACACTTAAGTGACTGGGGAAATATAAAGGACCCAGACTTTTTTTTCACTGTTGTTTTTTAGCTTGATTATTAGTATGAGTCTTCCTCCCCAGCAGAAAGTGATCCCTTATAAGAGTGGGGGCAAACATCGGGCTGTAGCTGCCATGAAGGAGCCCACAGTGCAGCACGTCGCAGCCTCGGATGTCTTCTATGGAGGTATGGGCCCCCCGGCTCTGGAGTCTGCACACGAGGTCGGGGAGCCTGGAGGCCACGGCTCTGGGGTCTTCAACCCAGAGAAGGGGCCCCAAAATCGGGCACACTACCAGCAGACTGCCCCTGTTCAATGGATGCACAAGGACCCCATCCAGGCCCCTGGCTGGTCTCAGGAAGCTCCCGGGCCCATGCCAACCAATCCATGGGGGCAGAACTTTGGCCCGTATATGGGCGGCTTGAACAACGTTAGGGGCCAGATGGCCTTCCCCAAGGGGAGCCACGATGGAGGAGCTGCTTTGCAGATGGGGCCAGCAGAGAAGCAGGCTGCAGGATCCATGGCCCAGGATAGGGGCTTAGAGTGGGAGCAGCATGGTGCGACGGCCGCCATACGCCAAGCCCAGCTCCAGGCCCTCCAGCACGGCCATAAGGGTGTAGACCTCCAGGCTCAGAACCCCCATGCCCCCCCCTCTCACCCCTCCATGCCACCAGGGTCCTTGTTGCAGCCCTTCCAGCTGGCATTTGGACCCACCAAGCAGCACCTTCCATCTCGGTACTACCAGGTGTTCCAAGGGGGCACCAAAGCCATGCCAAACATGAACTACAACGAGCAGTCCAAAGCCCAGCAACAACACCAACTGATGCAGCTTCAGATGCAACAGCAGCACCAAATGCATCAACAACAGCAACAGTTGCATCAGCAGCAGCATCATCAACAACAGCAGCACCAGTTGCAGCAACAGCGCCAGCATCAAATGCAACAGCATCAGCTCCAACTGCAGCAGCAAATGCAACAGCAGTTTCACAAGAAGCAACTACAACAGGAGCAACGGCAACAAATGCAGCAACAGCAGCAACCTCACAGTTTACCACTGCAGGAAATACTGCAGCCACAGTCTCAGCAAAAGCAGCAGACAAACCAACACTTCCTTAGCTACAACCAGCCCCCTGACAACTGTCCATCTAGCGCTAACCCCCCACACTCTCAGAAGGACAACCCTCCGTCTGTGGAAACTCATGGACAGGGACAGACACTGGAAGTAGAGACCCCATCCACTGATCCATCAAGCACACCCTGCGACCCCTGCCCTCCAAAGGTCACACTGGACCCCATGTCACCCTCCTCCGACGCACCTTTAGCTGCCCCCCGCCGCTCCCGCCGCCTCTCCAGAGACGGGCTATCCCCCCTGGGTGGCCCTCCCTCACTAACCTCCTGGAACCAGACCTCCAGGGAGGTACCTCAGAACGGCGTGGTGGCCGGTGGAGAGGAAGGGAGGATGGGGGAGGGCCAGGGTGCCACCGGGGGGGTCATCCAGAGTACCCGTCGTCGTCGGAGGGCGTCGAAAGAGATCAATCTGGAGACTCTGGCCCAGAAGGCTTCCGAGATGGAGTTGATGCCCGCGGCCAAGTTTGCCAAGACATCCAAGGTTTGTTTACACTGTTTTATTTAGTTAAACCAGGCCTAAAACCTGTTCCAAGTTCATTTCATTCACATAGTGGCCTGGGGTGGTCCAGCGGTTTAAGTACTGAGCATGGATTTGAATCTGACGCAATGTTGTAGCACACTCCTTCTATCTACTTCTCTCTCTCTCTCTCTTCTGTCCAATAAACCCCAAAATACAACAACATTGTTCAAAATTGTTGCTGTGTACATACATAAAGGCCTGCACAATGGGTCAGGGAAATTGATTTGATTTAGTTACTATTTTCCTGATGTATTTCCTGAAGGGGAAAAGAAGGGGACCTGACTATTGAAGTTAGATTAGTTCCCGGATGACGGGAGAACTGATTGTGTCATTCCTGTACTTGGCTGCCACTGTGACCACTACAACACACTATTCCTCTTTCAATAGGAAGAGCATGGTTTCTATACAGGAGGCCTGTCCTCTTAACTTTCACAGTTGGCAAGCTGTTTGGTTTGTTTATAACTGGCAATCCAGCTATTAGGCCTAGCGCATGCACTCTCTCTCTCTCACACACATGTTATTTAGCCCATCTACTGTACATCCTCCTCATACACTGGATACTTGTGCAGCCTGAAAAGTGGCTTTTCCTGAGAATTTCTGGTGAATTCTCCGCTTTCATAGGAAAGCCTCCATCCCATACAGGAGGCTGCTGAGGGGAGGACAGCTCATAACAATGTCTGGAACGGAGCAAATGGAATGGCATAAAACACATGGAAACCATGTATTTGATACTATTCCGCTCCAGCCATTACCACAAGCCCGTCCTCCCCGAATAGGTGCCACCAACCTCCTGTGACATCCCAGTCCTATCCACATTATACCCAGTGGGGAACCGTGAGGGCCTTGAAGGCCTAAGGATTTATAAAATGTATATATATTTTTCAAATTAAATGTTCTATTTAATCTTTGCAATAATTTTTATGATAATCTGATTTCATCTCTTCAGTTTGTGTTGGAAAGAAAAGGGTTAAAACTGAAGAGAAAAAAATATCCAATCAAGAGTTTCTTTGGTGATCTCTGGGTAGAAAAATTATAGAATTCAGAAGCTGAAGGCATCTGCCATTCCATAGACTGTAAAAAATATGGACGAAGCCATCGATGACGTCCCGGCCTTGTTTCCTTTGAGAATGCTCAGTGGCATATTTGAAGATCAGGAAGTGTCATTTGAGCATGTCACCATCTTGTTACATGGAGGAGTTTTTGGAAACATCGCATGCACAGTTTGAGCTACTCTAGGACAGTGGTTCCCAAACTGTGGGGCCCCTATTTATAATTATAATAATAATAATTATTATATATATATATATATATATATATATATATATATATATATATATATATATATATATATACACATACATACAGTGGGGGAAAAAAGTATTTAGTCAGCCACCAATTGTGCAAGTTCTCCCACTTAAAAAGATGAGAGAGGCCTGTAATTTTCATCATAGGTACACTTCAACTATGACAGACAAATCGAAGAAAAAAAATCGAGAAAATCACATTGTAGGATTTTTAATGAATTTATTTGCAAATTATGGTGGAAAATAAGTATTTGGTCACCTACAAACAAGCAAGATTTCTGGCTCTCACAGACCTGTAACTTCTTATTTTAAGAGGCTCCTCTGTCCGCCACTCGATACCTGTATTAATGGCACCTGTTTGAACTTGTTATCAGTATAAAAGACACCTGTCCACAACCTCAAACAGTCACACTCCAAACTCCACTATGGCCAAGACCAAAGAGCTGTCAAAGGACACCAGAAACAAAATTGTAGACCTGCACCAGGCTGGGAAGACTGAATCTGCAATAGGTAAGCAGCTTGGTTTGAAGAAATCAACTGTGGGAGCAATTATTAGGAAATGGAAGACATACACGACCACTGATAATCTCCCTCGATCTGGGGCTCCACGCAAGATCTCACCCCGTGGGGTCAAAATGATCACAATAATGGTGAGCAAAAATCCCAGAACCACACGGGGGGACCTAGTGAATGACCTGCAGAGCGCTGGGACCAAAGTAACAAAGCCTACCATCAGTAACACACTACGCCGCCAGGGACTCAAATCCTGCAGTGCCAGACGTGTCCCCCTGCTTAAGCCAGTACATGTCCAGGCCCGTCTGAAGTTTGCTAGAGTGCATTTGGATGATCCAGAAGAGGATTGGGAGAATGCCATATGGTCAGATGAAACCAAAATAGAACGTTTTGGTAAAAACTCAACTCGTCGTGTTTGGAGGACAAAGAATGCTGAGTTGCATCCAAATAACACCATACCTACTGTGAAGCATGGGGGTGGAAACATCATGCTTTGGGGCTGTTTTTCTGCAAAGGGACCAGGACGACTGATCCGTGTAAAGGAAAGAATGAATGGGGCCATGTATCGTGAGATTTTGAGTGAAAACCTCCTTCCATCAGCAAGGGCATTGAAGATGAAACGTGGCTGGGTCTTTCAGCATGACAATGATCCCAAACACACCGCCCGGGCAACGAAGGAGTGGCTTCGTAAGAAGCATTTCAAGGTCCTGGAGTGGCCTAGCCAGTCTCCAGATCTCAACCCCATAGAAAATCTTTGGAGGGAGTTGAAAGTCTGTGTTGCCCAGCGACAGCCCCAAAACATCACTGCTCTAGAGGAGATCTGCATGGAGGAATGGGCCAAAATACCAGCAACAGTGTGTGAAAACCTTGTGAAGACTTACAGAAAACGTTTGACCTGTGTCATTGCCAACAAAGGGTATATAACAAAGTATTGAGAAACTTTTGTTATTGACCAAAGACTTATTTTCCACCATAATTTGCAAATAAATTCATAAAAAATCCTACAATGTGATTTTCTGGAGAAAAAAAATCTCATTTTGTCTGTCATAGTTGACGTGTACCTATGATGAAAATTACAGGCCTCTCTCATCTTTTTAAGTGGGAGAACTTGCACAATTGGTGGCTGACTAAATACATTTTTTCCCCACTGTATGTATGTATGTATGTGTATATATATATATATATATATATATATATATATATATATATATATATATATATATATATATATAATATATATTTTTTTTTTTTACAAATTGAAGGAACTCAGTCCGGCTTTCAAATTACTCTTAAAAGTTGCAATAGTAGAATGCACAAGGTGCAATTTCGAAATTGGGTAGTGCATCATCAGTTTTTCTCATGTCATGTTAGTCGTTGCATACCTTAGAGAGCTATTTATAACTTGTCAGAAATGTCCAGATCAACTAGCCCATGTCAGCTAATGTTATTTTTTGATAGGTTTTTTAGCCCATATACAGTATTTTATAGTAATGTTCTAGTCACTCGAACATCACATGAATAATAGACATGGCAAAATGTATAGAATTGCAAGAAAATTAGCTTAAAAACTGGACATTTTCTCTGCACCCCATGGCAAAATGTGTAGAATTGCAGGAAATAAGCTTTAAACCTGCAAAATGTTCCCCAATGCTGGAAGGGGGTTCTCAGTGAAAGATTTTGGGATTCCCTGCTCAAGGAAGTGACATTTTAGGCTAGCTCATTGCGTGTCTATCTGAAGATGGACCGAGGTACTGCAGGCTGCCATTAGCAACTAAATTATCATTTTAACTACATCTGTGTGATTTTAAAGCAGGGATCATCAACTAGATTCAGCCGGGGACCCAATATATATATTTTTTTCTTGAGTGGATGGAACATAATTACAAATAATTTGTAGACTGCAAATTGACCTCAAGAAGCCCGAACGCTGTGTACTACTCCCTTCACAGAACAGCGCAAGCTAGCTCTAACCAGAATAGAAAGAGGAGTGGGAGGCCCCGGTGCACAACTGAGCAAGAGGACAAATACATTAGATTGTCTAGTTTGAGAAACAGACGCCGCACAGGTCCTCAACTGGCAGCTTCATTAAATAGTACCCGCAAAACACCAGTCTCAACGTCAACAGTGAAGAGGCGACTCCAGGATGCTGACCTTCTAGGCAGAGTTGCAAAGAAAAAGCCATATCTCAGACTGGCCAATAAAAAGAAAAGATTAAGATGGGCAGTCTGAGAACCCACAATTGCTGAATTATATGCTCCAGATAGTCAACTAGTCTCAAGTAGGCCAGTTGTATTGCTTCTTTAATCAGCACAACAGTTTTCAGCTGTGCTAACATAATTGCAAAAGGGTTTTCTAATGATCAATTAGCCTTTTAAATTGATAAACTTGGATTAGCAAACACAATGTGCCATTGGAACACAGGTTGCTGATAATGGGCCTCTGTACGCCTCTGTAGATATTCCATAAAAAATCAGCCGTTTCCAGCTACAATAGCCATTTACAACATTAACAATGTCTACACTGTATTTCTGATCAATTTGATGTTATTTTAATGGACAAAAAAATTGATTTTCTTTAGAAAACAAGGACATTTCTAAGTGACCCCAAACTTTTGAACGGTAGTGTATATACAGTACCAGTCAAAAGTTTGGACACACTTACTCATTCAAGGGTTTTTCTTTATTTTAACTATTTTCTACATTCTAGAAAAATTGTGAAGACATCAACTCCAATTTGGTGTGAAAAGCTGTCATCAAGGCAAATGGTTGCTACTATGAAGAATCTCAAATCTCAAATATATTTTGATTTGTTTAACACTTTTTTGGTTACTACATGATTCCATATGTGTTATTGCATAGTTTTGATGTCTTCACTATTATTCTACAATGTAGAAAATAGTAAAAATAAAGAAAAACCATGGAATAAGTACAGTGAGTGGAAAAAAGTATTTGATCCCCTGCTGATTTTGTACATTTGCCCACTGACAAAGAAATGATCCGTCTATAATTTTAATTGTAGGTTTATTTGAACAGTGAGAGACAGAATAACAACCAGAAAATCCAGAAAAACGCATGTCAAAAATGTTATAAATTGATTTGCATTTTAGGGGGCGGCAGGTAGCTTAGTGATTAAGAGCGTTGTGCC